CACCCACCCGAGATTCAGAAGATGTTTACCACATGGACAGGGGCAGGCAGGGAAATTAAAATGGCTGAGGAGAAAGCCAGGCTGAGTGGCTCTACAAGCCAGCGCCACAGCGGCTCCTGAGTGGAGACATGGCCAAGGGCTCTACAGGGAGGGGCCAACTCACCTGTGGCCTCCTCCACATGGAAGACAAAGCGGAGGAAGTCACGTTTTCTCGTGGGCAAGCAGAATTTGGTGAAGGGCCGTGGCTCAGTGGCAGAGCATCTGCTTGGTGTGCAGAAGGTCCCAGGTTCAGTCCCCGGCATCTCCAGTTAAAAGGACCAGGCAGCAGGTGGTGTGAAAGACCTCTTGCCTGAGACCCTGGAGAGCTGCTGCCGGTCTGAGTAGAGGGGAATGACTTCGAGGGACCAAGGGTCTGGTCCAGTATGTGTGTTCACGTGTATGTGTGTTCAAATAGCCTGCTCAGTTCTTCGGACCTGGTCAGTAGGCTTGCCAACAACCAGGTGGGATCTGGAGACCTCCTGGAATTACAATGGATCTCCAGATGACCAAGATGATCTGCTTTGGAGGGTGGACTCTATGGCATTATACCTTGCTGAAGTCCCTCCCCTTCCCCAAACCCCGCCCTCCCCAGGCTCCTCCCCCTGGATCTCCAGGAATTTCCCAACCATGTAGCTGGCAACCGTACTGGCCAGAGCCCTTGTGTGAAGTATTGTGTGAAGGCACACAATACTTTACTTTGCAGTGATACACTTTCCACAGCTTCCGGTTCCTGTCGCATACTCGTCTCTCTATTAAGCCAGACTCCCGTTGATTGCATAAGGCCACAAAGTTAGGAAGTGTGAAGAGGCAGATGACGTCGCTAGAGTTGTTGAGGATGCCACGTCCCCCCTGGTCCTTTGCAGACCTTTGTGGGAGGGCACTTGGACCAGGTGACAGCATACAAACCGATCAGTTAGAATTAAGCTCCTATGTGTGTGTTGTGTGCGATCAGGTTGCTTCCTATGAATTAATGACTTCCCAAACGTCCTCTCATTAACAGCCGTGCTCAGGCCTTGCAAACCGAGGGCCCTCGTGGCTTCCTCGACTGAATCGATCCATTTCATGTTGGGTCTTCCTCTTTTCCTGCTGCCTTCTGGTATTCCTAGCAGGATTGGGTTTTTCCAGTGACTCTTGTCTTCTCATGATGTGACCAAAACAGGATAGCTTCAGTGTAGTCATTTTAGCTTCTAGGGAGAGGTCAGGCTTGATTTGCTCCAGAAATCACTTATTTGTCTTTTGGGCAGTCCACGGCCTCCATAAAACTCTCCTCCAACACTATGTTTCAAATGAAGCTTACAGATTATCCTTGATTAAAGGTGCTTTTTTTTTTGGAGCAAACGAAGGCTGTGGTCACACACACTATATAATCCACTTTCAATCCTCTTTCAGTGCACTTTCCAACTGGATTTTACTGTGTGAACTGGCAAAATCCAGTTGGAAAGTGCATTGAAAGTGCATTGAAAGTGGATTATTCAGTGTGTGTGACCACAGCCTAAGTGTGAGAATTTAAGATTATTCTATTTGACAAGTGGTCGTAGGTTATGTTTACTAAATAATATGCTCCCTCTAAGCTGTAGAGTCTTGTGAGCAAAAATCCTACCTTGTGAGCTGCTGGCATTAAAGTTGTGAGCGAGCGATTTGGCTGCTGCCTAAATTAGTTTGCTCTGGAGCCATCCTTCCTGAGCTAAGGCAAAAATGTGTGCGCCGGAGGCTAAAAATCTGTGAGCTAGCTCACACTAACTCAGCTTAGAGGGAACACTGGCTGCCACTGATGATCAAACAGAAAGAGCCCATCTAATGTTTTCTTTCCCATTCCTTATTACAATGGATTGGATCCAGCCGGCATTTTCACTCAATTTTCCCTTTTTACTACAGCTCCCATCCCAGATGGCTTTTGGCTGTGATCCCCTCCCTAGACTTTTTTGGTGGTCACAGGGAACCCCCCCTCCCTTTCTTACCAGTAGAGAAGTTGGCTGGATCCAACCCATTAAAATACTAATTGGCGGTGGAAGTTGCAGCCAATTTATGGCGCCTTGATCAGGTTTCCAAGGCAAGAGACGTCCAGAGGCAGTTTACTGTTGCCTTGCCCCTGCGTGGTAACCCTGGACTTCCTTGGCGATCTCCCATCCAAGTCCTAACCAGGGCTGGCCCTGCTTAGCTTCTGAGATCTGATGAGATCAGGCTAGCCTGGGCCGTCCAGGACAGGGCAAAATAATTATAACCCTCCACCAAATTGACCTCCCCCCCCACTAACAAGGAGTTTCCTTCAATCTCAGATCCACGGAGTAAAAATTGTCCTCGTCAGTTGATCAGCTAAAATTTTACTCGATTGATCGATTTAACGTGTTAAATGCAGCAGGTGATCTTCTACTTTAAAAATGACACGGCATTTTTGCATTAGTTTACTCATTATGCAGCTTCTATGTCCTCACAATTTATTTATTTTTTGCTCCCAGGGATTCCCGGCAACAAAGAAGTTCATGTTTTCAACCTGACCTCCCTCACAAAGTCCGAGAACATCTTGTCAGCTCTGTTGCATTATTATGTCGGGGATTTCCAAAACGGTAGCGCCAGTTGCCCTCGTCTCAAGGGCTGCTCTCGACATGGGCCCAGGAAGCTTGATGTGCAGATCAACCTCTCCTTGCTGAGTTTTCCTCCGTCGGGAAATCAGACTCGGACCTTGGGACACTACTCAATCAACATCTCCACTGCTTATCGGGATGTCCTTTCTTGGCAGTGGAAGAACATCACTCACGTCTTGAGTAAGGCCAAACAGAATAACGAACTGGTCATCGGGGTCAAAATGGCCCCCGCTGGCCGCCATTCTTGGAAGAGGACGCACCCCACTTATGAACCCTATATCCTTGTCTATGCCAACGACTCCGCCATTTCGGAACCAGAGAGTGTAGTTTCTAGCTTGCAAGGGCACTGGACTCCCCTGCCTGGGGGGTTCTCTAAATTTGACAGCCATTCAAAAGCTGACCGGGGCGAACGGCGCGAAAAACGCTCTGCCAGCATCCTCCTGCCTTTGCAGAACAACGAGCTTCCAGGGTCCGAGTATCAATACAGCGAGGACGAAGGATGGGAAGAGAGGAAACACTACAAGACGCTCCAGCCACGGCTGGCCGAAAGGGCCAAGAGCAAGAAAAAGCAGAGGAAAAATAATCATCAAAAGAGCCAGACGCTCCAGTTTGACGAGCAGACCCTTAAAAAGGCCAGGAGGAAGCAGTGGAACGAGCCACGATATTGCGCTCGCCGCTACCTCAAAGTGGATTTTGCCGATATTGGCTGGAGCGAATGGATTATTTCTCCTAAATCTTTCGATGCGTATTATTGCTCAGGTGAATGCCAGTTCCCTATTCCAAAGGTACAGTATTTCTTTCCTTTTTTTAAAAAAAGTATCTATTGTTCTTACTCTATCCATTAACACAGACATAAACAGCTTTAAAGGGGGATTAGATGGATTCCCGGAGGAGAGGTCTGTCAGTGGCAACTAGGCACGGTGCCTAAAGGGAACCTCTGTGTTCAGAGGCAGTACACCTCTGAATACTAGTGCCGGGAGGCAACATCAGGGGAAGGCCTCAGCCTCTGTGCCCTGTTGTTGGACTTTCAGAGCAACCGGTTGGCCGCTGTGTGAGACAGGATGGTGGCCTAGATGGACCACTGGTCTGAGCCGCAGGGCTCTTCTTGTGTTCTTATGCTATGTTTTCTGCCGTGCAGGGGAATACTTTCTCACCCCTTTTAACAAACCACATGTGGTTGGTGTGTTTTTTTACAAGCACCTGTAAAATCCAGCTGGATTGTTATTAAAACTATAGTATGCCATAAATAGGTAATTTCTTTAATGGCTGTTCTTTAAGGGCTTTTGCAAAAATGGCTCAGTATGAAGTTAGAAGTGGTTTACTCAAAGATATAAAAGTAACATTAGAGGGAGAATTACAGGAGGCTTTTTGTTTAGAAGCCACATATGCTATAAATTGCTTATTGGGTAATAATAATGTGTGAACTCATAGATGCCCCGTTAACCATCCCTAATATCCCCTGCATGCCCATTTCTAAAAAATACGACAGTATCTAATGCTTTATAAAAACTGGCCCGTTCCTGAAGCTTGCTGTACTGGCGATAAGTGCTGTGGATGGCATACAGGAAGTCACAAGGCATAAGGCGGTAAGCCTGTGAATGCCAGTATTAGGAGGCAGTGTTCAGGGAAGGCATTTGCCTCTATGCCTTGTTTGTTGGCCCTTCTGAGCAACTGGGTAGCCACTGTGTGAGGCAGGATGCTGGACTATTGGTCTTGTGTTCTTATGAGGTTCCACAAAGGTCAAGAAATACAAGGAGGCATGGAGGTGGAAGGCCAGATCATGCCTGCGGGCTCTGCCCCAAACTTGTCCATCTAGGTTTCCATCCTCCAAGCGGGGCCTGGACTCCAAATTAGTTCTCACATCTGTTAACTCTTGTTTTAGTGTGCTAAATTGTTGCTATTCACAGGTCTAAGGTTGCCAGGCCGTACCCCTAGCCGGCGGGGGACTCTGGGTCCTTTGTGGGATCCTCTGCTGCACACTTTGCACGTGGGGCATGATGACATCACCCGGAAGTGACGTCATCGTGTCGCTGATGTCGGGCGGGTGACACGCTAGTTTTTTGGGCAAAACTCTATGGGTTTTTTGCTTTCAAAACCATAGAGTTTGCCCAAAAACTAGAGTGTCACCCCTGATGTCGTCGAAATGATGATGTCACTTCTGGGTGATGTCATTGTGTTGGGGACATCATGGAGAGACATCCCCTATTTGGGATGGGGTTTTCCCCACCGGCCTGTTGGCTGGTGGCGGATCAGAGCCCTCAAAAGTGGGGGGACCCCCACTAAGATCTGGGGACTGAGAACCCTACACAGGTCTTATCCACTGCTTTAATCCAATCTCAGCTATACTTATCGCCCAGTTACTTATGCATCTTGACTCTAACTAGCCCTTCCTGGCAACTAGCCCCTCCCCTCTCTCTACCTGCATATAATGTTTCAGGAAGTCTTGTTTCGATGTACCTGAAGAAGTGTGCGTGCACACGAAAGCTGATATCCAGAATTAAACTTTGTTGGTCTTAAAAGGTGCCGCTGGACTCAAACTTCGTTCTGGAGTTTTCCTGTAATTAACTGATCTCCAGATGATGGAGATCAGTTCCCTTGGAGAAAATGGCTTCTTTGGGGGGTGGGCTCCTAAGCAGTGTTCCCTCTAAGCTGAGTTAGTGTGAGCTAGCTCACAGTTTTTCAGCCTCCAGCTCACACATTTGTGTCTCAGCTCAGGAAGGACGGCTCCAGAGCAAACTGATTTATGCAGTGGCCAAATCGCTTGCTCACAACTTTACTGCTCGTAGCTCGCAAAATAGAATTTTTGCTCACTAGATTCCACAATTTAGAGGGAACATTGATCCTAAGGCGTTATAACTCACTAAGGTCCTTCTCCTCCACTAACCCTGCCCTTCCCTGGCTCCACCCCAAAAATCTTCAAGAATTTCCTAAGTCCATCAGAACTTCTGACGAGAACTTCCACTTGCCCATTGTGCATTTCATGTCATCACTGTCCATTGCAACTGGGGACGAGACTGAATTTTGCAAGTTTCCTAATTCGAGTCGAATTATCCCCCCCCCTTCTGTTTTGTGTCTCCCTTCTCAGAATTAGATATATCTATTTAAAACATTTTCATGCCGCCTTTCCGTCCAGTCAAGGTCCACGAGGCAGCAAGTTTTAGAAACGTTTAACCATTGAAACAATTTTTAAAAAAATAACAGTTAAAACGAACCTGCAGGAGTCTTATTTTCCTTCCACCCGTTTTTCTCTTTCCTTGTGCCAAATTTTCCCTATTAAAGTTAATGCATTTTCAGTGTTACTTTTTAACAGGCTGCATATAAATGGTGTCTAACGGCAACTGTGTGGAAAAGCAAGAATGGTCAACAGAGCAACAGAACCCAGGCAAACTGAAACCGATGACCATAAAAAATGAAATCCCCCCCCCCAAAAAAAAGGGGGGGGAAAGGCTATATAATACTGGCTTCACTACCAGTTCTGTTGGTGTCTGCTGCATACCATTACATCACAGACTTTTACCAGTCCTTCCACTCACTACACTTAACCAGATTCAGGCTTGGTCTAAACAATACAACTTAACAAGATCTTGGTTGCTGACTGACGTGATTACGGTTGCCACCTCTGGAATCTCAATGTTCCCTCTAAGCCATGGAGTCCTGTACGTCACTTTCGGGACGTGCTGGCGGCGCACGCACGCTTCTCGTGCGCGTCGGAGGAGAGCTCCCGGAGCTTGGCGATGCTCCCCTGCCGGTAAGTCGATCAGACTTGGCAACCCTACTACACTTACCCAGATTCAGGCTTGGTCTAAACAAAACAACTGAACAAGTTCTTGGTTGCTGACTGACGTGATTACGGTTGCCACCTCTGGATTGGGAAATTCCTGGAGATTTGGGGGTGGAGCCTTGGGAAGGTGGAGTTTGGGGAGAGGAAGGACCTCGGCAAGGTATAGTGCCATAGAGTCCACCCTCCAAAGCAGCCATTTTCTCCAGGAGATCTGATCACCATTGTCTGGAGTTGGGTAGTAGAAGGAGATCTCCGGGCCCCACTTGGAGGAGGGCAACCCTGAACATGATTTCTGGCTTGAGTACTTGCCGTGGGTATACCATTTCAAACAATAATATGGGCTGCACTCCGTAAAGGTTTTTTTTAGAAACTTTTGTTCACTGCGGTGTGTTTCCCCCACCCCATGCCCCAGAGGCTTCAGATCCCGTGATTCATTGGTACCTTTCTAGAGGAAACTGTAGAAGCTGTATTGAAGCCAGTACTTTTAAGGAGAACCATAGACATATAGATGGCTAGATAGGCTCCATTCCTATAGACAGTTTGGAATCACAACTGACTGGCCAGCAGATACTAAAAGCCTCGTTTCCTTGAGCATAAGCTAAATATTCAGAATGTTATGGGCTAAAAATGACGTGAAATTGGGGTTGCCAGGTCCTGTTACCTGACCGGCGGGGACCTTTGGGGGCATTCCGGGGTGGGCAGGGATGTTTTGGACCACTTCCGGGGGTCTGGCCCCACTGCTAGACTTCCTGATGGCACCTGGTATTTTTGTCCACTGTGTGACACAGAGTGTTGGACTGGATGGGCCATTGGCCTGATCCAACATTGGCTTCTCTTATGTTCTATAGACAGAACACTCTGTCTGGGGCAAGGGATGCTCTGTATTCTTGGTGCTTGGGGGTGGGGTAACAGTAGGAGATCTTCTGGTGTCCTGGCTTCACTGCTGGACCTCCTGATGGCACCTGGTATTTTTGTCCACTGTGTGACACAGAGTGTTGGACTGGATGGGCCATTGGCCTGATCCAACATTGGCTTCTCTTATGTTCTATAGACAGAACACTCTGTCTGGGGCAAGGGATGCTCTGTATTCTTGGTGCTTGGGAGGGGGGGTAACAGTAGGAGGCCTTCTAGTGTCCTGGCTTCACTCCTGGACCTCCTAGTATTTTTGTCCACTGTGTGACAGAGTGTTGGACTAGATGGGCCATTGGCCTGATCCAACATTGGCTTCTCTTATGTTCTTATCCCTACATGAAATCATCATGGAATTCTTTAGGTGGGGTTCTGAAGCGGCAAGCTAACAATTCAACATGGCAGAAGCACCTGGCAGCCCTTACAAATGAAGGAAAAAAAGTAACATAAAAATACAGACATTCCCTGTGGTAAACAGTATAATTTTTATCAGGCCTGAGGATTGCAAGTCTCGATTCAACTACCTCCAATGCTAAGCTTCTTGGACTACACTAATCATCCTTCCCACTCAGAGCAAGAGTTTGCAAGAACAGAAAGCAAGCCAATTTGTTTGTGCTCAGCCATGTTATTAAAACTACCATTACACCTTGACATTCAAAAGTTCAGCTAATCCTAAAATTAATAATCGCCAACATCACCTTCTCTTGTCAGGCTAGGTATGACTCACTTCACGAGCTCGTCTGCAAACATACCGTGCTTGTCAAAAGCGAAAGGTCTCGGCTTTTGCGTGGCCATTAAGATCTTAATTCTGCCATTGTTATTCACAAGCACCTAAGGGGCCAGAGTTAAGGTGGGACAGTGTTTTTGAAGCATATTTTGCATTAATTAACTTTCAGGAATAAAGCTGCAGACACTCTTGTTCTTATCACATCAGAAACCACTCTTTTAAAATAAGCAAACAGTTGCAAAGTGCGCATTTCCAGAACCGTACTAAGATAAGGGCCAGATCAGAAAAAGCAATAGCAGCCGAGTAATCATTTAAAATGGCTACATTCAGACGGCAAGAAAAAAACATGATTTGTAATTATGGGAACA